AACCCTCATATAATCAAAGCATCTCCTACTAATCTTGGCCCCAATTGGTGTTGTCTGTTTAAATACCAAGACACTACAAAAGCCGACCTCTTCGGCAGCGGGTGCACCAATGAACTGATTAAGCATGTTGAAGGCGTAAACACGTTAGATATAAAAAAGATAGATAAATCGACGCTTACTGGCAACCATACTTTCCCTACAGTAGGGGAATATAAAAACATGATGTATTGTTGGAATCGTGTGTCTGAATGCCAGGAACCATTCGCTACTGTTGTAGTTAATAAACCTTGCAAGCAACCCATTGTCGGATTTGMGACTTTATCCCYAAACAAAACGCGGATTCAAGAGTTYAAAAAATCTGAAGAKGCTGTTATTTTAACAGACAACACAGTTGATTGCGAAGCATCTAAARAGTCAAAGTTTACATGGAAGTGTTATGAAGTCGACAGTRAAACATTTGCAGAAAATGAATTCAATTTGACTGGAATTASTACCGGTTCAGATACATCAACATTAACTTTCAAGAAATTAGCAYTGAAATATGGGTTATACAAATGYTGCTTCACACTGAACATGACARAGATGRTTGGGGTGGAGGGCTCAGCATGTGGATATTTTAAAATCACCCCGTCGCAATTAATCGCCAAATGTAAGGGAGGTTCATCTAGAGTATATGGCTACAACCAAACGAAAGAATTAGACTGCACAGAGTCCGATGACCCTGATACAGCGGACAAAACAGTAACATCAGATAACAACATCAAATGCAACTTCTTCTGTAAAGCCGAGGGTGATAATTACACTTTTCCTGACTGCAATRRGCTCGAYGAARATMATTTGCCGCCAGTTCCCTCCAAGCCAGTAATAACAGGGAATGMTACTAACATCACTAGACCGTATCTCGGAGGCTGTTTCGGATACGGGCCTGGACGRCTGGAGTCTAAATCTCATTGCAGAGTGAAACTGTTTACAGGGCACATGCTCGAAAACAYGACGTACACCTTAAAAATGTGTATGCGGCATAAAGATGGTAGAAAAGCTGGCACCGAACAAACGTGGAAAATCAAGGAAGGCAACCCCCCAGTGATGCTTATTTCGTAAGTATAAAAAAAAAKTACAAAAAGGTTTAGGTTTGATTGTAACCTTGCGATTTACGGGGCTAAAAATGGWCTTCAGAACACAGGTAGACCAAAAAGTCCAAAGAGCGTTGTAGGAACTAAAAAAAGATAATAGAAATGTGAAGTTGTCCTGCAGTGGCATGTTTTGTGTAAGATAACATACAAGTAGACCATACGCTACTGTGATAGTTGTTATAATTTTTCTCGAGCTTTCGCTGGACACCAGCATCATCTCGAGACTGAATATTTACAGTAAATTAATGCACATATAAGTTACGTTCTAAGCTAAAGAACACTTGAACTTTAAGACCTCATCTTTCTACAAACACCTTCWGACCTGCCAAAGCGGAACAAMCACCAATCTTTCTATTAACATAATTGGTAGAAAAAACGATCCCGTTGACCTGAGTATACTAGAAGCCGCACACATTCGCAAAAGAAACCCCAAATTAATTCACGCGACGAATGTTTAGAACTAAGAGATCTATTGTTCTAGTTTGCCTATGTTGCTATCTATAGCCCATGTACAACCTCCACGCTCCAGTGGCTTAGAACGTAACTTATATGTGCATTAATTTACTGTAAATATTCAGTCTCCCAGCGAAAGCTCGAGAAAAATTATAACAACTATCACAGTAGCGTATGGTCTACTTGTATGTTATYTTATAATTGAAATGATAGTTTGCATAGAGTGCTTTTCATCGGACAGCGAAACAGTTGAYAAAACGACGTTATAATTTAATACATCACTGAAATAGCCACATTCTAACAAAATAAAATAAACAGATAAACCTATTCGCCCTGAGTAATAACCTTGACGTTTCTAACAAACACTGCATACAAGCCGTGCCGTTTCAGTCTATATGGAGTAAAACGTTTGACATGTATAGTAAAAATTTCATCAATCTTAGATGTGCGACGAACTGCGGCGAAAAGCTCAACCCCAGTGGAAAAACAACTTTTACGTGTAAATGCGAAGACTGCCCCTCAAACACACAAGTCTTCTACAAATGGAGTATTTGCAAGGATGCGTCCAAAGAAAATTGCAAAACGATAGATGACAAAGAATTATTGACAAAATACTTAGACACGGCGTCTCTAGAGGGAAGGAACCTTGCTGTTTCTGCTAATAARCTTGCAGGAGGTATTAGCTACAGGTTCATCTGTCGTGGTTGGCGTGGAAGGAAGAGCGGTACCCCTGGTGAGGCTAATGAAATGAAAACGGTTAACGTTCCTCCCCAAAAAGGTACTTGTACCGTTAGTCCGACGACGGGTACYTCCATGAATACCACCTTTACGATCACGTGCAAAGATTGGGAAGACACAGATATGCCGCTGACCTACAGTTATGGTTACGTAAAAAGTAAGTACGCGGGCGCGATTCTTTCATACTGGTCGACAATCTCGAGCCCAGAGTCTTTTTTTCTTTAAAAAGGCTAATGTCACGCTGACTTCCGCTGGATGGCAAAAGTGCGGGCTCTGGGTACGAAATTGAGTACTAGACAGCATTTGAGTACATGTCAGACATCATGCGTCCAGTCTTAAAGGGGCATGGTCCACTAGCATGCAATGCGGTCGTGTTTTAGATTTTTCATATATGGAAAATGAGGTGGCTTCGAATATCCATTTGCAATCCGTTTTCATCCATCGGTTTAACGGTCGAATCTTAAAGCATCTCCATTCATACAATATAGAGGAATAATAAAGAGTAAGTTTTTGCTTATATTACGATGTATTTCTATTTTCAAACATAAACAAAAGCTCGAAAGGGATGCTGGTGGACCATGTCCCTTTAAATACCATGAAAAAGACTACACTGTTTATTATATGGTTGAATAAAATTGTGCAAWTTGATTGGCTAAGARGAGTGGTATTTATCCTTAAGAGTGGTATTTCAAATTGCACAATTTTATTCAACCATTTTATATACAWATAATAGCATGTTTTGTACGTGGAATTTGGGATAAATACCACTTCTGATATTTCCAAATTTGTCGCTTTGCTCGTGAAATTTTCTTTGGCAATTTTGAAATATCACGCGTGGTATCCCAAATACCACTACAAAACATGCTATAACCTATACAAATCTAACTCTAATTTCTTATTCATTTGTCAGAATGCAGCGAAAAAGRTACTCCTAGTGTTCTAGATTCGSATCTGTCCTCGAGTGAGTATARGGTTCAGRTGCCTGTAGCAGGTGACAAGAAAGACAATCATTTGTTACATTTCACGGTGCACGTGGCTGATAAATACAAAGCATTCAATAAAACTGTCTGTATTCCTGTAACGGTAGGTGTAAAACATGGAATTTGACAAAAAAAGCACGAAAATCRTGAAACAATAGTACAAAATAGGTACTRAATGATATGTTTCTATTGACTAATTAACAATTTTTAGTGGTAATTAGTAAGGTTTGTTTCACGGATTTAGTGCGTCGATTCTAATRATCATAAGCGATAAAACTAAAATCAATGATAATCAGTAATGCAAACAATCTACTAATAATTATATAATAAGAGATAATACTACAATAAGAACAATTATTCATTATTTTGATGGCCGCTGTGCCAACTCAAGATCCATCTTCAAAGATAAATCCCGTATCTCGCGCGCTTCATTAGCTGTATATAATGCCCCCATTGGTTAATTTCTATTCATTTCATAATCAACAAATATTCTACGAACAATCGAAATTTATCCTCGTCGAAAGCAAATCAGTTTTTATCATGCTAATGTCAGAACTTAATAATGTATTTTTCCAGGTTAAAGAGCAAATTATTGAGCTTAAAGATATGGAAAAATTAATGACGAATAATATCGAAAATATGCTTGCGTCTGGAAGCGCTTCTCTGGCACTGAATTTAGTCCGTGGCATAGGCGACCAGTTAAAGWCTCAAGCTGCTGCAGTCGGTGAAAAAACAACAGATGGCGATGGAGGTGGCCAGCCTGCCCCGACCAAAAGCCCTGACCAGTTAGAGAAAGAGAAGGAGAAACGGAAAGAGGTAATACCTATATACTATACACACCAATTTGAGATTGTCAGATTGAAAAAGATGATATATCATCGAAAGGGACATGAATCTGCCGTTTTGTTTTCCCTCAAATCAACAAGATTCAGGATATTACTTAACTGACGGCATGAAAAATCATGTATTTTTACCAGCTTGTAAAACAGTGCATAGATGTTTTGGTCAAAGTGCCACCCAAGACTCTTTCAGCGGTCGTATCAACATCGCAAACGTTCAATAACATTTTGGAAGTCCCACCTGACGAAGTTAACGAAGCAGCAAAGGTACGTGGTCTAAACTAAGTTACTGCCTTAACACGAATGAAGACGAGGAATAGTTTTCGAATAAAATTTTAGTTCACTCATCGCAATCAGATCTACAC